GAGGAGGAGGAGGAGGAGGAGGAAGGAGGAGGAAGAGGAGGAGGAGGGAAGAGGAAGACGAGGAGGAGGAAGGAGGAGGAAGAGGAGGAGAAAGAGGAGGAGGAGAAGGAGGAAGATGAGGAAGATGAGGAGGAAGATGATGATGAGGAGGAAGACGAGGAGGAAGACGAGGAGGAGGAGGAAGATGAGGAGGAGGAAGGAGGAGCAGGAGGAGCAGGAGGAAGAGGAGGAGGGTTGGGGACGGAGGGGGACAAGTGAGAGGAAGGTTGTGGAGGGGAGGAGGAGGGGGAGGACAACAATGGCTTAGGGGTCCTAGGTGCTCTCTGGACTTGGTTGTTTTCTTGAAAATGTTTCATTACCGAACTAGGTAACCGTGAGGAGGAGGAGGGGGGAGGGAGAGAAGGAGGAGGAAAGTCACCAATTTCCAATGGGTCCTCTTTTTAATTTTTTTTAAATCTATGCAATTGTGAAAGACAGCCACAAATGCACACACCAAAAAGACACAGCTGCTTTCAAGAGTTGCAGACAGGTGCCAGCTTCCCGGCCCTACGAAGCATTGTGTTGTCTTCAAACTCCGAGCAGTGCATAGCCCTAGAGATATCGGGAGAGGTTTGAAACAAGTGCACATGCATCAAGACAGAGCAAGCCAACGCGCAGGTAACTCTTACCGGCTTTCGCTTTCTCCTCTTTGCAACTTTGACGGATTTTCTTCTGGCACACGTACGCCAGGACGATCAGAAGGATGACAAGACAAATCGACAACCCCACTGTGACCCAAAGAGCTACTGCTGGAAACAGAAGGTGTTGTCCTGGAAGGAGACAGAGATTGTGATTGCCAATGCCCTGGACTGGGATGACCCAAGGAAAACTCTCCACCATGTGGGTCTGATGTCACACCACACACCGCAAAGAGCTGTTGGCTGCCAAGAATTTACTCAGGGCCCAAAGCCCCCTAAGGATGCAGCTAAATGCTTCAACTGCTGCCGTTTCCCAAGACTTCCCAGGAAAAGGCAGGTTGAATTACCCTATAAAACACTTCATTAACCTTTAAATAATTATGCTAATAAATTCAAATAAATGCTGATCTATCACCCTTTGCTCGGAGAAGGAGGAGAAGCTGAGCAAGGAGGCATCAGCCTAGTGGATTCCTTATGTGGCTTTCCATCGACGGGAGATTTTGGATGCTGGCAAGGCGACTTCATGTCTGCCAACGTTTTACAGCTGAAAGCCTAATGAATAACCCAGGATACAACCAAACCCACAATCTAACCAAATTCAGACTTGACAAAGGGTTGTATCCTCAGATGGGTTGCTGGGTAAATAGCATCCTCTTTGTTATGGGTGAGGGTCTCTTTTAGGCAGATTTAAGTCTCTTTTATGCAGACTTAAACATTGGGGGTGTCGGGCACACACAAACCGAGCCATACGTGTATAGCCTAAGTCACCAACTTTATTGATTTCCATCTATATTATAAGAATCTTCCCAGACTGCTTGCCTTCTCTTCGGAACAAGCAAATAAAGTTACGTGGATCTCGGGGAGGAAGTGTATCAGGTTTATGTCTCTTGTGGCTACACAAAGACTCAAGGCTAATTCCCTACTTGACTCCTCCTTCCATTCCGGCTGGCAGTTTTCCAAAGGGGGATTCATAATCTATTTGCATGCACTCCCCCGCAAAAAACTTACTAACTGTCTAGCATTTCTAAACGACTTCAGGATTATTTGATCACAAGCCCCCTGCCTGGTGCAGAATCTTCAGTTCAGAATGTCCATTAAGATGAAGTAAACACTGAGTAACATTTTCCTTCAATGGTGAAGTAAAATAATTCCCCTCACTTTTCTTTTCAAATCTCCAAACAAAAACAAAAAAGCACTCAAAACAAGATTCAGAAGTCCAGGCTCACCGAAACCCAAACTTTGCAGGGCGTAAATGTGATGCATGCGACTAAAATATCTGATTTACAAGGACGAGACGGACCTGGGAAATCATCTAAGTTAAACTAGCGAGGGATTTAAAAAAATAAAAAAGTGGGCACATTGAAAATTGGCCACCCTGTGCTGTCAGGCAGTGGTGGGCTTCAAATAATTTAACGACTGGTTCTCTGCCCTAATGATTTCTTCCAACAACCAGTTCACCAAACTACTCTAGAAAGTTAACAGCCGGTTTTCCCGAACAGGTGCGAACTGGCTGAATCTCACCACAGCTGTCGGGTCTTTGTTGAAATTCCTCAAATGAAAAAGAGCTTGATTATTTCTGACGTGTTGCCAAGCCGCTGCTGCTTTTTAAGAAGATGAAATCTGTTCAATTTCTCCTCTTTTGTTCCAAGTTTTAAGACAAGGCTCCAAAGATGGAAGCGAGGACGTTTGATCACAATGGAGATGTCTGTTTGGCAGGTACATTTTCTTTGCATTAGTGAAGGAGAACGGTTGTTAACACGGCTGATCTGGCCAAAGATTTGCTCCCATTCAAGGAAATTTCAATCCCGGGTGACGGAATGCTGAAGGAGGTTGGTTTTAATGCCAAATTCTGGGAAATTCCTTGTCACAACCACCTACAGGTACCTCTCGACTTAAATGTTTCATTTAATGACTGCTCGGAGTTACCATGGCAAGTGTTGAACAAATGGAGCTTCGCGTATGAATGCAAGCCCCCACCACTTGTGTAAATGGATTTCACACGTTCATCTGTCAGCCAATCAGATGAGGAGGAGGAGGAGGAGGAGGCATGGGAGTCAGGGTCAGCATCAAGGCAACCTGGGAACTCTGAGGGGGAAGAGGGAATGGCGCTGTCAGAGATAGAGATGAAGGCGGAGCCTGGGCTGTCCATCAGCCCTCAGATGGAAAGTCAATAGTCCCCAGGTCTGGAGGTGGCTGATGAGGAAGAGGAGGAACAGCTGGGTCCAGTGTCTGACGTGCGGATGTGCAGAAGGCAGAGGAGAGGAGAGCAGTGGAAATCTATGGGCTGGTCCTTGGGATGGAAGAGCCAAGTCTGGAGGTGGCTGATGAGGAAGAGGAGGAACAGCCGGGTCCAGTGCCTGACGCACGGATGCGCAGAAAGCAGAGGAGAGGAGAGCAGTGGAAATCTATGGGCAGGTCCTTGGGATGGAAGAGCCACCGCTGCCAGCAGCTCTCAGGATAAAAGGCAGCGGGCAGAGATGAATAGATGTGACAGACTCTGCTGGATGGACTTATTAGCCTGCAATGAGAGAGAAACTGTTCGCCAGGATTGCCGGCGCTCCTAATAAAGGAATCTTTGGGTTCACTTCAGAGGGTTTGTCATGTTTGGGAGCTGGGTCAGAACACCCGTCACTTACAGAGCCCAATTCCCAATGGACCAGGGGCCAGTATTGGATCACGGCTATGAGGGGTTGGGGACCTCTGGGTTACAAGAAAAGACATAGGTTCGATTTGCGTTTCCTTTGCTGCCCTCAAGAAGACGCTTGCAGCTTGTGTCCAACCTTACTGGGCTCCGTCGAGTGGCATTGTGTGTTTAACCAAAACGTTTACGCTCCCAAAGGGATCTTCTCTCACAAAGCAGCGATTGCCGTGCCAAGGACAATTAAACCCTAATTAATGTTACCATCAAATGGAGAAGGTTAGCGAGAACTTGGGGGAGTCTATAAAAAAAAACTGGAATGACTCGAAGACACCTGGAAAGCCAGCAAAGATAACTTGGCAAGGCAAGTGCTGTCAGAACGTGCGGAGGGAAAAGGTCAGGCATCCCCGAAAGCCGATCCTTTTGAAGGCTGTAATCCAGTGGTGGGATTCAAATATTGTTGCCACCGGTTTGGTGGGCATGGCTTGGTGGACATGCTTTGCACGCATGCAGATAGTTTGTGTGTGCCCACGCACTAAATGTGCACTTTGCGCAGGCGCAGAGGCATTTGTGCAGCTGCAAAGGTGTTCTAACTTGCCTCCTGCAAGCCTGCACAATCCCGGTCACTTCAGCAGCTGCCACATAGCACTCTTCTGCGCCGCGCAAAGCAGCCAGGGGTGGGATTCTACCGGTTCGCACCTATTCGCTAGAAACGGTTGTTAACATTCTAAGCAGTTCGGAGAACCGGTTGTTAGAAGAAATTACTGGCCTAATCCTGTAAGGAAGGCAGGAAGGAAATATTCTGGTGTTGCTGACAGAAACTGCCTCTCTGTTAACCCTTATTACATTCTTGGCAGGACTAGACTTCCTGTCTCTGGAACGTCTCCAGAGTTTTTTTCCCCCTCCTTTGCTGGTACTTTGCTTGTGTGGAGTGACCATTCAAAGTTAAAATGGCACTGAAAAAAGTGACTTATGACCCATTTTCACACTTACAACTGTTGCAGCATCCCCACAGTCATGAGAGGCCAGGCGAGGAGAAGCGTGCCTCAGTGTGAGTGATATTGAGTTGGCCATGCCCAGACAATAACACAACCACCAAGCCACACCCACCAACTAAGCCACACCCACAGAACCGGTTGTTAAAAAATTTGAATCCCACCCCTGAAAGCAGCTGCATTTCAAATTCAGCAGATAAAAGTGAATATGGGAACCCAGGCGGGCGGGTGAGCCCAACGGCAGAGCGGTGGAGAGAACCAGTTGGGTCTCCGCTGCTCATCACCACTTCCGGCTCGCCAGAACCGGGCCGAACCAGTCCAATACCACCGCTGCTGCAATCCTACAATTTGCTGACCCAGATTGGATCCTGCAACGTTGTCCTAGGACACGTATATTGGCCTCCGTTTGTAAAAATGTCTTGGTTTTACAGAGGGGCTGCAGTGGCTCACGTGGTAAGACCAGATTCTGTGCCGTTCAGAGAAGCCCCAAATCCCACTCCTGGCTGGCCCCGCCTCACCCTGCCCCTCCCAGGAGTCACTCCCCCACGGCCCGTTTTGGATGCAGGTAAGTGCAGGGCATGCGCGGAAGGTCAGGGAGGGCGAAAAACGGGCCTCCCGGAAGTTCGCGAAGGCCATAAATCGTCCCATTTCCCTCTTCCAAAGAGCCTCCGGAGCCCGGGGAGGGCAAAATGCCCCCCTGCCACGGTGCAGGAGGCTGACTAAGCCACACCCACCATGGCCATGCCCATTCAGCAACCAGGCAGAGAACTCCTTGCTAATATTTTCAAAGCCCACCCCTGGGTAAGATGCAGGGCCCGCCCATCATGGAGGTGCACGGTTCGATTCCCGTGAGCGAATAAGCCGTGGAAGGGACAACAAAAGGACCCTCTCCTGATTGGCTCCTGGAATTCAGACGTTCCGCTGTAAGGTAACACCGCCCCCCAAAAAATCCTTTCACAGAGGCAGCCAGCCACCTCAGTGATCTCTGGCTAAAACGTGCCGTACACTAAATAATTAATTTTTACAGAGATATTAAGTACAAGTAGACCTCGACTTACAACCACTTGGTGACCGTTACGGCAGCATCGAGTCTTCTCCACAGAGGTCGGCAGTCCCAGCTAAGTCCAACCTCCATCCCAGAAGAGCCAATGTAGACCCCCCCTCCTCACCGACTACCCAAGGTTTCACCCTCTCCCCAAAAGGCACAAACCTGTGATGGAGACGGAAGCCTGGGTCACCTCTTGAAGCAAAGGATTCTTGATCAGGCAACTGTAGGTGCTGTTAGGCTCAAGCACCACCTGCAGGATACTCTGGACGTCAAAGAGTCCCTGCTCGTTGGCCACCTGGGAGGTGGTGATATTGTCAGTGATGTTGTTCCCCTGGCCATCTTGCCAGAGCACAACAGCTTCAGGGTACCCTGAAAAGCTGTGGCATCTCACTTTGACCAGGTCACCTGGCTTCAGGTTCTTGCTGGGTTCCAAATTCACATTTGGCTTGGAGTAGGTAGCTAAAAAAACGGAGAAGAATGGATGAGAAAGGATTCAGGACCAAACCCACGGCAATAGCAATAATACTTAGATAGTCGTAAGGTTGAACAATGGCTGTAGGTCCCTTTTTCCAGTCCTGTTGTAACTTTGAACGGTCACTAAACCAACCATTGTTAAGTCAAGCACTCCTATTGTGGCCTGTCGGCCGCTGGCCCCTCCAGCAGCCAAATCAGAGGAGGGGGAGGCGTGGGAGTCAAGGTCAGCCTCAGGGCAACCTGAGAGCTCTGAGGGGGGAGAGGAAATGGAGCTGTCAGAGAGAGAGAGAGAGAGAGAGAAAGAGACAGAGACAGAGCCTGGGCCATCCGTCAGCCTTCAGATGGAGAATCAACAGCCCCCAGGTCTAGAGATGGCTGATGAGGAAGAGGAGAAACAGCTGGGTCCAGTGCCTGACAAGCGGATGTGCAGAAGGCAGAGGAGAGGAGAGCAGTGGAAATCTATGGGCTGGTCCTTGGGATGGAGAAGCCAAGTCTGGAGGTGGCTGATGAGGAAGAGGAGAAACAGCCGGGTCCAGTGTCTGACTTGCAGATGCACGGAAGGCAGAGGAGAGGAGAGCGGTGGAAATCTATGGGCTGGTCCTTGGGATGGAAGAGCCAAGTCTGGAGGTGGCTGATGAGGAAGAGGAGAAACAGCCGGGTCCAGTGTCTGACTTGCAGATGCACAGAAGGCAGAGGAGAGGAGAGCGATGGAAATCTATGGGCTGGTCCTTGGACGGAAAAGCCACTGCTGCTTAGCGAAGTCCCACCCTAGCTTTGGGGAAACAAGGCAGGGGGCGGAGATGAATAGAAGTGGCAGACAACTATTCATCTGCTTGTTGGACAGACTTGTTAGCCTGCGGTGAGAGAGGAACATTTTGTCAGGGCCGCTGGTGCTCCTAATAAAGGAATCTTTTGCGTTCACGTCAGAGGGTTTGTCGTGTTTGGGAAACTGGGTCAGAACATCTCCCTGTGGTTCAGAAACCAATCTTGCCCGCCTCCTTCCTTGAAGCTCACCTGCCATTTGAAGAGTAACAGCCGCCCTGCTGAAGTCCCGCACTTTGACAAAGCAGGTAAAACTCCCTTCGTCGGAAATCTGCACTCGGCGTAGCAGCAGCGACATGTTGCCATGGGCCAGCTGGTCATAGAAGAGGGCAGTGCGGTTGGCGTAAGTGCTGCCCTGATAGGCCAGCTGGTCCCGGCCTTCCGTGAAGCTGTGAACCAGCTGGTTGGTGTCGGTCACCTGCCAGAAGAGGCTGAGCTCGTCCAGACTGAAATTAGCCTCCGGTGAGAAGGAACAGTGGAGAACGGCGTCGTGGCCAACGAGGGCCACCACGGGCTCTTCGGAGACCTTGATCTCCACAGCTCCTGATGGGGAAGAGGACGACACGACACAACACTTAAGACTTCCCTGCTCAACCCCTTGCAAAAGCTTTGGGGACAAAGCCTTGTACGCCAACCTTCCCTTTGCCAATTGCAGTCTCCGTTGACGCAAGCCAGGGATGTCCCATCACCCACGGTGCACCACAAACTAAGACTCTACCATTGGCGCTCTTGCTCAGCTCAGGTTGGCTGGTTTATTCCAAATGCCCCTATTTCAGAGGTGGTATTCAGCCGGTTCTGATCAGTTCTGGAGAAGTGGTAGCGAAAAGTTTGAGTAATTCAGAAAACCCGGCCACTAACGCCTCTGACTGGCCCCGCCAACCCCATTTATTCTCCGCCTCCCATTGAGTCCCAGATGATCGGCTGGGTCTCCTTTGGTTGCCCTGCACAGGAGACCGGAGCTGGAAAGCAGGTTAGTGGGGTGGGGAGGGAATGGAGATTTTCCAGTGTCCTTCCCCTGCCATGCCCACCAAGCCACACCCACAGAACTGGTAGTAAAAAAAAAATTGAATCCCACCACTGCCCTGTTTCGTGTCATTTACAGCTCAGGCCAAGCCAGGCCCTGTGGTTTGTGAACCCTTGTTGACCATTCAGTGTTCCAGAAAAACCCAACCCCTTGTGTCTTGCTCAACAAAGCGTGTTTTAATTCACACTTGACTTTCTGCTTTTTTTTTGGTATCCAGCCCTGAAGTGCAGAACCTCTTCCGGAAAGACCCTGGTTCTGTTCACACCCAACTTTGGACACCAAAATCCCCACTGTGGGATAGCTTGAAATCTGAAGGAAATGTGCCCGTATCTGAACAACATCCAGTAGCCAAATAGCAAAGGATGATCTAAAAAAATAATAATAATATCACACAACAATCCAGAAGCTCGTATGTTCACCTCTAGATGTCAGTCTAGCTTCATCACATCGTCTTTATGCCTCTTAGTAGCCCTGATTGCATTTTGAGGGAGGGAGACCTGTTAACTCCAAGTGTCCACACTCCAGAGAACTAAAAGACACTGCAACCTTTCATTCGTGCACAGATGTGCTCTGGCTGAGAACAAAGAACCAGTCAGATGTTTGATATGGGACTTCCCCTGGGATAGGTGAAGCCTCCAAGAAGATTAGAAAAACTTTTGACGCTGCTGGGAAGGGAGAAGAAATGAGTTCACTCCTATAGGTAGTCCTCGGCTTACAACCACAATTGGGGCCAGAATTTCCATTGCTAAGCAAGGAAGTCATTAAGTTGCCCTCAATTTTTGCTACGGCTGCCACGGCAGTTGCTTATCCGAGTCCTACTACTCTTTAGAAAACTGGGTTGGGGTCCTTTCTGAAGCATTTCCCACGTCCTCCCACCTTCTGTGAGTAGAGAGACCTTTAACACACAGCTTGTAAGATCTCAACTTCTTCTCTTTTCAGATCATTCCCGCAGATCGCTGCATTTTAACGAGGTTAAAATTAAGGGTGACATATATCTCCTTATATTTCTGGATTTGTTAGATAATAGCCATAAAGAAGAATATTTGCAGCTCGGGGTTGAAATGAGGGGTCCTTGGTGCTCTCTGAGCTTGGTGGTTTTCTTGCAGATGTTTCATGACCCAACTAGGTAACATAATCAGTGCATCAGAACACTACTGTCATGCCCTTGGTGGAGACTGACTCTGAGGGAGAGGAGGAACAGCCGACAGGGAGTGGAAGTGTGGCTCTGGAGGTTGTGGAGGAGGCTGAGGAGGGGGAGAGGCCGGCTGAGCAGTCAGAGGAGGACCCAGGCCCATCCTCTCTCCATCTTAGGGCACGCAAGGAGGAGAGGATAAGGGAGAGACGTGGTCTACTCAGGAGGAGAAGGCCTTAATCCTCTTCATGGGCTGCAGGTGTGAGAACTGCATAAGAGTTTGGACCTGCATACTGGCAAACGCTGGAAACAAAGCGTGTTTTATTTTGGTCCGAAGTTATCTTAGTTGTCGTCCTTCCAACAGACTGTGCCTTGTTATCTCCTTGAATTTGGTAAATACTCCTGCTCCGTTGTGGAAATTTCATCACCGTAGTTTGTTTGGGTTTTTTTTTTATTTCACCTCTATCTGCTCATTAAATTCGGACTGTATTGCTTTCTTTTGAAGACTATTTTTGAAGCAAGTTTTATCTTCCACTGAGAATTATTGAACAGCGGGGCCAAGTTGGAGGCATTAAAGGACGTCTTCCCTGTCTGAAGACGTCTCCGTGGTCACGTGGCTGGCATGACTTAAACTGCCGAAGGCGCACAGAACGCTGTGACCTTCCCGCCAAAGTGGCCCCTATTTTTCTACTTGCATTTTTAACGTGCTTTTGAACTGCTAGGTTGGCAGAAGCTGGGATAAGGAACGGGAGACCACTCCATTACGTGGTGCTAGAGATTCAAACCGCCGACCCTTCTGGTTGACAAGCTCAGTATCTTCGCCACTGAACCGCGGAGCCCCCTCTATGTCAATCCTTAACCAAATCAAACTCGGAACTGGGAAGGCAGAAGTTAAGAAGGCGCATCCATGATGCTCCTCTTACTTACCTAGCCAAGCGGGGAAGAGAAAACCCAGAAGCAGCAGCTGGACGCATAGCTTCCGTGCAGAGGAAGGGTCCTGGGAGCCAGGAGGCCCACAAGTGTTGGAGCACATGGTCAAGAGAAAGCAGCGGTGCTCTTCCTAAGGAAAACCAAACAGGGTAAGACGTTGAAAAACACCAGGTTTACTCTCCGTGTTAGGTAGACAACTTGTGAACAATCCAAGCACATTGATGGGTTGCTACAAGGATAGTCTAGGGTTGTAGGCTAGAAAAGAAAGGCCCCGGGAAAGAGAATGGCAAACCACTTCAACAATCTATCAGCGTTCCAGAAAACCTCAGCTCCAAACTTCTAAAGCGGACGCAATCCTTCCATAAAACGTCCACATAGGAACCAGAAGCTGTCCTTGATTTATAGCAGGATTCGGGGGGATAAGATACCTTCAATAAAATTCTTAAGATATGGCATGAGATGTTCTGCCTTGACTTCCCAGTTTGGCCAAACGATGCAGATCATCCCCATCTATGTAAGCCTCCTTCTTGTCTCTAACGCTCTTGGCTTCCATTACTTTAGTGTAGGGGAAGGACTGGCAGACCCCGCGGTAGAGTCAAAAGAGGAATCAGCCTAGAGTCTCTAAGTAGTCACAAACACACTAAGTCCAGTCTGTTTTGAATTTTGTTGACCCTTAATCCAAAGCTAAAATACTGTCAACCTTTAGTTGAGTAGCTTAATGTCAGATACAACAGATCAGGAGTACGTGAAATTCCAATTAAATTGATTTATTACGAATCATGCCTCTGCACAAAAGTCTAAGCTAATACTTAGCATTATCATGACATTAATTAAGAGTCAACTGAATTCAAGAGGGGTTGGACTTAGTCTGTTTGTGGCTACATAGAGATTCTAGGCTGATTCTAGTTTTGACTCCAACCACAATCCTTCTTCTACATTTGGGAAGAAACTCCTTCCTTGAGGATGCATCCATCTGTGAGATCAGAGAGAGTTGGAAGGCCAGAAGAACCAGCCAGAAAACCAACAATTTCAGTGCTATCTTCAACATCAAGTCAAAACCAACAATTTCAGTGCTATCTTCAACATCAAGTCAGCTCAAGAACATTCTCACAACCAATTCCAAATAAATTCTCACCAACCTCTGAAGAATAAGATAGACAAATTAAAGCTTTTTTTTTTTTAGAGAAATTACTATCCAGCACACCACTAAGGTGTGTTTTAATCTTCTAACTGAAATTCACTTCTCCCCAAAAAGATCCATCAGATGTTCTGCAAAATCCAGGACGTTATATCAGCTTCTTTCTTCTGCTGTCTCTTCCCCACCCATTCTTGGCTGTCTAATTATGATTGTGACAAGCATATTTATTTGACATCAACAGGAACTATTTATAAGGTCTTCTGGGTTTATATTTTTAGCCTCCTTCTACCAGGATTCTTCTGCTTTCTCTTTCCCTACCAACAGAACCCTGTAATTGTCAAGGCGATTTTTGTTTTCCTGCCAGCGAAGTGAGCCAGCTGTATTACATGGCAGAAAATTCAAGTGTGCAAGATAACAAACACACAATGCCAAACTCTCCTAAAAGGCAAGCTTAGAATGACATAATATTCTTCCCCCCTCTGGAATTGCGCTTGGACAATCATCTTAAAAGTCTAACGCCCCAATTAAACAACACAACACAATTTTGTATCAACTGGATTTTGAAATGTTTGCTTCCATCCCTCGATTCACGTTTCCTGTGTGATTGTGCAAACAGTCTATCTTTGGGCTAGCCTTGGCAAGTCCAGCTGTCTTATGCAGCCCTCAAAACATTCGGAAGAGTCATTGAAAAGGAACAGCCTGGTCTCAGGACTATTAGTCAGGCCCTATCTTTGCAGAAGTGAAATTTACAAAGCTCAGTCAATCCGCCGTCAGTTTCCTTGGCTTCAAAAAGAACATCAGGGGGATGATTTCAGTTTTTAGAAAAGGGGAATTTGTGCACTGATCTTTCTCAACAGAAGTGAGTTGGAATGATGGTCTTTGGGATCATTGGCCAGCAATGAGGGCTGAAAATGTTGGAAGGTATAAACCCCCCCAAATCTGGAGAAGGTTATGTTGGTCTAGGTGCTCCCATTGAATCCATCGTTGGAAGCTCCTTCTCAAAAGTGTAAAGGGTTAAGGGACTGAAGGCTAGACCGTTGCAAGAATTGGGAATGTCTAGTTGAATGAAAAGAAGGACCAAGGGTGACTTGAGAGGAGTCTTCCAATATCTCAGGAGCCGCCACACAAAGAAAAGGGAATCAAGCTATTCTCCAAAGCAGGGGTCCCCAACCACCGGGCCCCAGACCGGTACCGGTCCGTGGATCATTTTGTACCGGGCTGCAAAGAATGAAAGTAGGGCCTACTTTGCTTGGGCGCCGCCATCTTGTTTCGACGGCGCTTGAGAAAGTGCTTCCGGGTGAGCTTGTCAGTTGGAAAGAGGTGTTTGGGTGCGGAAGGAATCCTCGCGCCTTAGTTTTGTCGAAGGGGGTGGTGGCTTCAAACGAAGAGCCGTCCCGATGGCGGTGGAGTCTCGCGTTACTCAGGAGGAGATTAAGAAAGAGCCCGAAAAGCCCATCGAACGCGAGAAGAAAGGAGGAGTTGAAGGTGGCGGGGAGAAGCGGGGGACGGCTGGCTGGCCGGTCGTTTGGCTCGCCTTGCCTTGGTTGTGCGTGCTGATGCCGGTACCGGTCCGTGGATCATTTTGTACCGGGCCGCAAAGAATGAATAATCGTGAAACTGGTCCCTGGTACAAAAAAGGTTGTGGACCACTGCTCCAAAGCACCTGAAGGCAGGCCAAGAAGCAACGGATGGAAACGCATCAAGGAGAGAAGCAACCTGGGATGAAGGAGAAGCTTTCTAACAGTGAGAACAATTAACCTGGGGAACGGCTTGCCACCAGAAGTTGTGGATACTCCAACACCAGAACTGTTGAAGAAGAATTTGGATGGCTAATTGGTCTGAACTGGTATAGGGTCTCCTGCTTGAGCAGGGGGTTGGACTAGAAGACCTCCAAGGCCCCTTCCATCTCTGATATTCTGTTCAATGACACTAACTAACCAGTAGGGCTAAGGAAACCGGCCGTCCCTGTTCAACCAGAGAAAAGAATGGTTCCCCTTAGTTCCTGCTCGTTTGTTTCCCTGGACCTAATGACTTCTTGGTCTCTGGAGAGAGGGGATGGCGAAAAGAGTCATCTAGCCAGTCTTCCACCATGAAGTCATCCCACCAAAGGAAACAGCTGGCCAGCTGTGCCACAACAGTGGCGCCCTACCCAAAGGGGAGATTTCAGGAAGGGAGGATGCATCGTTTGAATGACACACACACACACACACACACACACACACAAAGAGACAAGACACCCTTTGAAAACTGGCCTTCCCACCAGAGGCTGGGAAGCGCTTTTGTCCACACAACACGGCTCAGAGTTAAGAGTGGGGTTAATTCTCAAATGGAGGCCAAGAAAGTGGGGTTTTTTTTCTTCCATTCTTGCGCAACCAGACCTGACGAGCAACTGGCCGGGAGAGACCACAATCTGCTTTGCTTGGCCAACTTCACCACATCCACCCGAGGGGGTTGTTTGTCTGGCTCCGAGCCCAGCTGGGCCACATGGAAGTTCCCTTGGTGTGGGCCACCATTTCAGTCTTCTGAATTAACATTAGACTCTGGAGGTCCGGCTTTCTCAGAGGGTTGGGCAAATGGGAAGACGAGATAAGTAAGAGGCGGGTGGGGGGGGCGGGGGGGGATAGACTAGAATCAAGGAGAACGGAACAGAAAATAATCAGAACAGAACTAGAACAGGGGAAGGGAAGAGAAGGGAAGGGGAAAGGAAGGGAAAGGAAAGGAGGGGAGGGGAAGCGAAGGGAGGGTAAGGGAGTGGAGGGGAAGGGAAAGGAGGGGAAGGAAAGAGGAAGGGGAAGGGAAGAGAAGGGAAGAAGAAGAGAAGGGAAGGGAGGGAAGGGGAAGGGAGGGGAGGGGAGGGGAAAGGGAAGGGAGGGAAGGGAAGCGAAAGGAGGGGAGGGGAAGAGAATGGAGGGAAAGGGAAGGGGAAAGGAAGGGGAAGGAAAGGAGGGGAGGGGGGAAGAGGAAGGGGAAGGGAAGAGAAGGGGAAAAGAAGAGAAGGGGAGGGAGGGAAGGGGAAGGGAAGCAAAGGGAAGGGAGGGGAAGGGAGGAAAGGGGAAGGGAAGCGAAAGGAGGGGAAGGGAAGAGAATGGAGGGAAAGGGAGGGGAGGGGAAGGGAAAGGAAAGGAGGGGAGGGGAAGAGAAGGGAAGGCAAAGGGAGGGGAGGGGAAGGGAAAGGAAAGGAAAGGGAAAGGAAGGGAAAAAAGAGGGAGGGGAGGGAAAGGGAAGAGGCGAGGAGAGGAGAGGAGACACCCAAACAGACATGTACAAACAGAGACTCCAGTCTAAAGTACAGCTTAGGTCCCATTCCCACATTCTCTGAGGGGCAAAGGATCAAAGTTTGTGGGACTTTTTCTGCCGAATCCCCACATATGGCTTGCGAGCCGCATTCGCCACCACCCCCCACCCCACTCCGCCGCGCGACCCGGATCGCAATTCGGAATGAAGACACACACACACACCCCCCCCACCCCCCCCCCCCCCCCGCTTCCCCTTTCGGCCTCCCAGACCCCTGGCCCGTTTTCCAAAGGACCCTTTTCCCGACCACCGGAGAGAGGCAGGCGGGCTGGCGCTCGTTCAGGTGACACCCCCCGACCCCCGCCCGGGGTGGGTGGGTGGGAAGCGGAGGTTCGCGAACTTTTCCGTCGAGACTTACGTGGCCCGGCCGAGAAGGGGAGTCCGAAGCCGAGGGAGCGAAACCCAGCCCCGCGGGAGGGAGGCTCCGATGCCGAGAAAGATTACCACGAAACCGGGACTCCCCCCTCCGTTCAAAGGGCTTTTGGTTTTTGTTTTTTGCAAACAAGGCGCGGCGACGGGGAGGGGGGTGGGCCCGGAAAAGCCCCTTCCAGACCCGGAGGGAGGGAGGCAGGGAGGGAGAGGCTGGGTTAAGACTAGGTCGGCTTCCTTCCCTCCGGCTAAGCCCACCCCCTCTCCTTTCCCTGCGCCCCTTCCCCACACCGTCGGGCTTTTTACCCTGCCCCGCAACCAAAGTCCCGTCCAAGTTGCGCCGGCCCGCCTTGCAAGACCTGGGTTGCAGCAGCCTTACCCGACCGTCCTCCTCCTTCCTCCTCCTCTTCCTCCCGCCGCCCTTCCTTTCCAGACAAGGGCGGGTCTCTCCAGCCGTTTTTTTTTTTTTTGCGTACCCTCCGGCCGTGCAGATCCCAGCTCGCCTGGCGACCTCCTCCCTGCGCCCTCGGGGGCGAGAGCCGGAGGGAGCCGAGCGGCGTTGAAAAGGAAGGCGATCCCAGCCCCCCTGGCTTCCGGGGAGGGGAGAGCGGGGGATCTGGGCGCTTGGGGAAGGGGAGAGGGGGGGGGGGGGGGGGGGGGCTGCCAGGAGGGACAGAGGGGTCCGAAGCACCAGGCGAGGAGCCACGGAGGGCAACCCCTCAAGGAGAGAAGGAAGGAGAAACGTCCTTGAACTTGGGAGGACAATTGGTCGTTGGAACGGCTTGCCACCAGAAGGGGTGGGCGCTCCATCACTGGAGGTTTTTGTTTTATTTTATGTATTCATTTCATTGTGTCAAGCAATGATAAGATAACAGGGGTAAGCATGAACGTAGTTGTGGATACATGAAATGAATACATGTAAGAAAAATATAAAAGAAACAATCGGACCGGGACGGTGGGCGCGTTGGTGCGCTTATGCAGGCCCCCTACGGACCTCTTAGGAAAGGGGTGAGGTCAATAGTAGACAGTTAAGCTTAAAGTTTTGGGGGTTTGGGGAAGAAGCCACAGAGCCAGGTAGAGTATTCCAGACATTGAGCATTCTGTTTATTTATTTATTTATTTATTTATTTATTTTATTTGTTTATTCTATTTATTTATTCAATTGCTTGCAAGATAATAGGTATAAGTAAAAATATAGTTATGAATACATGGATATATATATATATATAAGAAAAATAAAAAATATATAAAAGAAACAATAGGACAGGGACGATAGGCACGTTGGTGCGCTTATGCACGCCCCCTACGGACCTTTTGGGAAAGGGGTGAGGTCAACAGTAGACAGTCTAAGGTTAAAGTTTTGGGGGTTTGGGGAAGAAACCACAGAGTCAGGTAGAATATTCCAGGCATTGAGCATTCTGTTTATTTATTTATTTTATTTGTCAATTGCTTGCAAGATAATATGTATAAGTAAAAACATAGTTATGAATGCATGGATACATATAAGAAAAATAAAATATATATATAAAAGAAACAAGAGGACAGGGATGGTAGGCACGTTGGTGCGCTTATGCACGCTCCCTACAGACCTCTTAGGAAAGGGGTGAGGTCAATAGTAGACAGTCTAAGGTTAAAGTTTTTGGGGTTTGGGGAAGAAACCACAGAGTCAGGTAGAGTATTCCAGACATGGACCACTCTGTTGCTGAAGTCGTATTTCCTGCGATCAAGTTTGGTGCGGTTTTTAAAAGAGACACTGGACAGCCACCTGTCTGAAATGGGATAGGGTTTACTGCATGTGCAAGGGGCTGGACTAGAAGACCTCTAAGGTCCCTTCCAGCTCTATTCTGATCGAAAGGAATCGAGCTTGCCAAGTTGGGCGACGTGACTCCTGGCCCCTTAAGGCTGCTTATTTTCGGCTTCGATTCAGAACGGACAGCTAGTCCGTGGCCGGGTAAAACCTCGCCACTCCTCCGACGGCCAAACAGGAACTCTTGCAGCTGACCCCAACTCTTTCAAGGCTCCCCACTGGGGAACGAAGAGGCTCGTGCAGGCAAAGCCCGATTTGGGTCCGCATCCACATGTTGCACTGAGCCCGCCCGCTTAGACAGGTTTTGCCGTGCAAAAACGTGGAGACATGGACTCGCCCGAGCTGCAGAACCCATCATCAGACGGGTCTCTCAATCCTTCGGCCGATTTCAGAGATGTGGACTTCAACTCCCAGGATTCCCCAGGCAACATATGGGCATTGCTAAGGATTCTGGGAGCTGAAGTCCAGCCAGCTTGGACTGCAGGCTGGGAAGCCGATCTAGAGGCCATCTTGCAAACTGATATGTTCTTCTCTGCATCTTTGCAACTGGGACTGCAATACATTGTTTACATAGGAGGAAATTGCATGGCGGAGATATATGTGTGTGTATGTATATGTATAATATATTGCAAGGGTCTTCAAACTTTGCAAGTTTAAGACTTGTGGACTTCAACTCCCAGAATTCCTGAACTAACATGACTGGAGGAGGAAATCTGGGAGTTGAAGTCCACAAGTCTTCAAGCTGTCAAGTTTGAAGACCCCTGATATATTGCATTTTTTATAATATATATATGGTATTCAGCTTTGTTCGGGTATTTTCCCACGTCATTGTAGTTGTGCTTTTAAAGTTGTAGCAACGTTTCGGCAGAAACTCATCTGCCATCATCAGGCTTCTGTATTGTGTTCGTCTGTATTGTGTTCTGTATTCTGTATTGTGTTCCAGACAAACACAATACAGAAGCCTGATGATGGCAGATGAGATTCTGCCGAAACGTTGCTACAACTCTAAGAGCACAACTACAATGACGTGGGAAAATACCCGAACAAAGCTGAATACCATACATACATACATACATAGCGCATATACAGGGGTGAGATTCTACCAGTTTGCACATATTCGATAGAACCAGTTGTTAACATTCTAAGCAGTTAGGGGAACTGGGTTGTTAGAAGAAATTACTGGCCTAATCCTGTAAGGAAGGCAGGAAGGAAACATTCTGGTGTTGCTTACAGAAACTGCCTCTCCGTTAACCTTTACTGCATTCTTGGCAGGACTAGATTTCCTGTCTCAGGAGCATCTCTGGAGTTTTTTTCCCCCTCCTTTGCTGGTACTTTGCTTGTGTGGAGTGACCATTCAAAGTTACACTGGCACTGAAAAAAGTGACATGACCGTTTTGCACACTTATGACTGTTGCACACTTATGACTGTTGCATCCCCACAGTCATGAGAGGCCAGGCGAGGAGATGCGTGCCTCGATGTGAGTGATATTGAGTTGGCCACGCCCAGCCAATAACATGACCAACTTAGCCACGCTCACAGAACCAGTTGTTAAAAAAAATTGAATCCCACCCCTGAGCATGTTATAGACAGTATATATATTGCATGCCCCGCCATGAAATTTCCTCCAGTGTAAACAATGTATTGCAGTCCCAGTGGTTAGACACCTTTCATCTTCTCCGTACCCTGATGGTTTAGCAGACAAAGAAAGAAGGAAGAAAGGGATAGCACGAATGGAAAAATTTGATGTAACGCTGGCCCCAATCCAATAACTCCTTTGTGCCAACCGCATGACCATAGGGTGCCTACTGGGTATTATTGCTGTCTGGGACTGAACTATAAACTAAATTTAGCAGCACTGGAGAGAAATTGTATTTCCTGTGGAAGACCTTGTCTGAGTCATAGGCTGATTGACTTCTGAGCAAAGAGAGGCACGCTGGGGACAACACGGGGTTATGGAACCCGGCTGATAAATAAGCAACATTTTATCTTGGATTCCAGAGCGTAGCTGAGGTTTTGCTGGGCTTTGATTTAACATGGAGCTTTTTGTTATTTCCAACAATACTGTGTGTATTACAGAGTCCTAAAACTTACAGCCGGAGATCACCAAATTCATTTTTATCCATTTTCAGCAAAAAGTTAATGGTTTCCAGACTTCTAAAAGCAGTTATTGCTCCTTCTCCAGTTAATGTATATAATGTGGCTTATGTTTTGATCAAACCGGAGGTAATTGGATGATTCCAATAAACACCCCCAGCTCCTCTCATTTAACCTCCCAATTTCATTGTATTTGTTTTGTTTTGTTTTAAACTGGCTTTTAATGAACTTCTAATGAGACAATCCATCTTAATAAGCACTGGGAGTTACAACATTTCACTCCCCCATTTTAAATACTGTTTATTCCATTTTTTTTTTAAAAAAAAACCTCCCACTTGTCAGTAATGCATTTTTAATTGGATGTTGGCTTTTTAATAGTTGACAGCTATTTTGGCACGCATTCTGAAGGGCAATGTGTAAATATTTAAAACAAACAAACATTTAATGGATTGTTTAGATTATTCCATGGGAATCCCCCAGTCACAACCTCTAGTGAGACTGTATGGAAAACCTAATCGGTATTTCTAAACAAGCACCTGTGCTCGTTAATTAATACATGCAGAGTTTATGCAAATCTGTCTCCTCTTTTGAGTTGCATTTATTTACTTTCTTTGACAATTCACGAGTGGCTAAATCCCAGTCAAACCAACTAGGCCTGGCCCAGAAGGAGTATTTCTCCTCCTCCTAAAGCTGATTTTAGCCTGTTCTTAAGATGAGAGGTTTTTATAATTTCCTTTCCCCCTTTTTATTTTTTTAACAATGCTTTTTATTGTTTTTCCACCAGTACAAGTCATCTTTACATTTTTAACAGCATTTGACATTGACAGTGTTATTTTGTGTCTTCTACCATCAATTCTCTCTCTCTCTCTCACACACACACACACACACACACATATGTTTTTGGTATTCAGCTTTGTTTGGGTATTTTCCCACGTCGTTATAGTTGTGCTTTTAAAGTTGTAGCAACGTTGAAACGGCTGAACACAATACAGAAGCCTGATGATGGCAGATGAGATTCTGCCGAAACGTTGCTATAACTTTAAAAGCACAACTACAATGACGTGGGAAAATACCTGAACAAAGCTGAATACCATACATGTAAGTACCCGCGAAAACTTAAGAAAATAAATATATATATGATAAATAAATAAAAAATGATGAACAGAACACGCCTCCAACCAATCAGAACACGGCTAACCCCCCAACCAATCAGAACACAGCCAAACCCCCTACCAATGAGAACACACCCCCACCCAATCAGAACACAGCCAAGCCTCCACCCAATCAAGTCCCACCCCCACTGGCAGTTAAAAGGAAGAAGCAGCTGCAATCTCACATCAGTCTGAGAAGCACAGAGCCGGAGACAGAAGCCTGAAGATGATGAATGAGACTTCATCGAAACGTTGCCCCTAGATACTTCGAATCTTACGCGGGAGAAAACCCGAACAACCAAAGATCCATATATATATATATATATATATATATATAATAACTAATAACTAC